AATATGATATCGATTAAGTAGGAGTTTGAAGACACTATATGTTTTATTTTTATGTCATATGTAAATGTATAAAATGTACAATGATGCATTATATATATATAGTAGGAGATTTGAATTGAGAAGTAATTTTGATTATTTTTTGTAATAATATTGGATGTTTTTAATATGGATATTGCAAGTTATTTATTTTAGAAAATTAGGCCGCAATTGAAAATTAATTATCATATTTTTTTGTTGAAAAAAATAGGTTTTACTAGCGAATGATTGTTGGAGCCTTAGTTGCCACTAAAAATCACTCATAACCTTTAGTGGCAATATTTTGGGATTTTGTGGCGACTTTGTCGCCACTAAAAGTCAAGTTCTTTTGTAGTGAATCTTAGTTGGCAATGCTTAGGTGGAGGGATTAGTCCCATGTGGCTTGCCACGTCACTAAAAAATTGGGGTGTTAACTCTTGAGGGTATTTGTGGTCTCCTGGGATAACTGCGGGGGTATTTTTGATCCCAAAATGTAATGGAGGGTATAAGTGGTCTATTTCACATAGTTCAGGGACAATTTTGACCCTTTTCCGTATATAATATACTTGAAAGAAATAATTTGCATACTTTTAATGCCAAACTTGGAAAAGGAAACCACAGAATTCCGTACACACTACTAAGAAATGAATTCCCTTGTTTCCTTCATAATAAAATTTGTTACAGTTATTTTCTTAGTCGAGGCCCAATTCAGTTGATGTCTAAGCAAGCTGCAAGCAAGTTGTTACGAATCATGTAAAGCTTCACAGAGTTTAGGATGCCTTTGATTTCTCATTCAAGAGTGGTTTGTTTTCTGATCTCTTAAGCACTTTGTTACATTCTAATTCCTTTATGAAGAAAGAATGAAGTCTGGTATTGTTGTAGGATCGGTTATCAAAAAAAAGTATTGTTGTAGGATCCTTCATCAAGCCTCATAGCCAAGCATGTAGCAAAAAACTTATTCTCAGTGAGTAAATGGAAGATTGAGTCATAAATTCCTTTTCTTTGTATAATAAAGTTGTATGATCATCCGAAGTCTGGTCCATGTATGTTTCTGGACTACCAACAACTACACCTCAATCCCAAACAAGTTGGGGTCGGCTATGTGAATTCTCAACTATTACATTTAAGTTCAACTCATGTCATCATCATACAAATAAAAGCAAAAATAAATTAAATATATATAAATGATAGTGATAATAGTAATAATAGTAGAAACTCTCTAACAAGAATCCTTTAACCCACTAGTAGATATAGCCTAGATATTTTTCTTCCATTGTGCCCTATCTTCTAGTTAAGTCTGTATTGATCCCAAGAAATCTTAGGTCTTTCGAGACAACATCCTTCAATGTGATTTTAGGTCTACCTCATCCCCTTTTCAACACCATCTCTCTCACCATGGCTTCACACCTATGGATTGGTGCATCTGTAGGTCGATGCAGGACATGACCAAACCACCTCACGCAACCTTGTTTTATGTTATCCTCAATCTGTGCTACTTGCACCTTCTGACAAATATGGTCAATTTTAATCTTATCTAATCTTGTATGATCACGCATCCATCTTAGCATCCACATCTCTGCAGTACTCAACTTGTGGATATGTTTGACTTTTTTGGCCCAACATTTACTACCATATCCTTCTAGCACATAACACCCAGTAGCACTTCTCCTTTTCAACCATTCAGTTTCAATTCGAGAAATTACATCTTCATCTATCAGTCCATTCTCTTGAAACAACAAGCCTAAATATCTAAGTTGGTTGCATGTTTCCTTACTGATATATCATATATCAAAATATCATCAATGGTTCAATCGTTCTGTGTCCTTTCTTTTGTAGTGAATCAGGTTTATTCTTTTGTTCAATGTCTGTAGTTCTTATAATTGGTGCTGATCTTTTTACCATGCTCCTTAGTGTAGGTATTGCTTTTTTCTCCATTTTCTGATTATTGGGTTCATTGTTATTTGCTGTCATGGACCTGTGCAGATTACTGGTTTTGCAATTGCTGTTGTCTTTTTTGCTTTAATGCGGCAAGCACGGCAATGGGAGCTTGACCTGCCTATACCTTCACTCCTTACAGCAGTGGAATCAAATTTGCGGATGCCATTGCCCTTTCTATGTCTGGCCCTGCTGCCTATCTTATTTGCTCTAGTACTTTCCTGCCTCATTTCTCTACCTCTTCCTCCAGCCATAAGTTTCATCTCTGTCTCAACAATCTGTTACTTGTGTGCAAATGGAGTGGTGGCTGTGCTGATATCTGCCTCCCAATTGTTATTCTACGTTAGTGCATCTTTACATGTATTCATCAAGAAACGGTTAGTTACTCTCTCTTGAATATATCTACCACATTTATGTTATTCGAGATTTTCATACAAGTGACTGATATCATTTATTAGTCAATTCATGGATCAAAGTTGCATGTGCTGGTGAAATTCAATCTTAATCTCAAGGGAAATTTCTAGTCCCCCTACTTCCTCCCCCACTGTCCATAAACGATTAAAATACTTTCACCCAAGGAGTGTGTTGCAGACCTAAAATAAATTAATAAAAGTGACTACTCTCTAACAATTAAAGGTTTTTCTTAAGGTACCACATAATTTAACAGAAACCTTTATGAATGCAAGAAATTCATTACCAACTGAGCTAATGGTAATATAATCTTTTGCAGGTCGCAAACACGGGAACATAACTTTTCTTCTCTTTTCACTGCCTTCCTGTCATCCAAGGTTAGTTTAATTGCGACGTTGTAGCTTGCAAAAACATAAGTTTGTAAAAGACTGGATTTGTACATATATTTCGGAACTGAAATTGAATGTATCTTGCATTCCTGGTCCTCTAATCTTAGTAAATGTCGATATTCCAAATTTACTTAAAATTTTGGCCATTTGCTTGTTCTCTTAATAAAAGTTTTACTTATTGAAACAGGTAGTCAGGATCATGAGATTCAATCCATTATTTGATATGACGCTTGTCTCTTTGACCCTAGTGTGCTTCGCTCATCCAGCATTGGGTCTTCTTTTGCTGGTCATTTCTCATGCTGTGTGCTGCCACAATTCCCTGTCCAGGTACATCCCTAACTAGTACCCTTTCTCCACTTATGCTGTGTATTAGAATTGAGGGTCATCTCATGACCATTGATATTGTGGCCCTCCTGCCCAGACAAAAGTTTTTCTCCATTTCCAATATTGTGTGTGATTCCTAACCGAATTCTTCAGAACTTCTGAATAGATTAAACATTTGATATTTAGTTTTTGGCTCTGCTAATATTTGATATTTTGTTATGACAAAGGTAGTCTAAAACCAATTCTTCTCGTCTGTAAACAGTTTTTTGATGGCTTCATTTCACAGCCATACCCAGACTAAGGAGTTAATAGAATCTGGGAGCAGACGTCAGAGTGGATCGGAGCAGTTCATACCCCAGTATGATGGTGAAATCAACTCGCATGTTCCTCAGAAGGAGAGTAATTCCAGTAGTCTGGACTCAGTAAAAAGTTATGGTGACACCCAATTAGAGATCTTCAATCATCGGCATGGCTTGCTTGTATTACACTTGCTTGCAATGCTGATGTTTGTCCCTTCACTTATTGCGTGGATCCAGGTATTTCTTTTCTTTCTTTAGGACCAAGAGGATTTCACTGCCTTGTCTTCATATTTTGTCATTTTGGAACCTCGCTACTTTGCACTGATAAATTGATAGAGCAAATGCTCTCAATAGTCTTCCTAATGAAATAATATTTGGGCAAAAAGGAAATTGTTGATTGCTCGAAATAATTGGAAGTAGCATAACATTTTATTTTTTTTGGTGTATGTTTGCACACAGAGAATGGGGATCGGTCAGAGCTTGCCGTGGTTCTTGGATTCTGTACTTTGCATAGGTGTTTTGCTGCATGGTGTATGTGACTCAAAGCCCGAGTTCAACTTCTTCTTCTTTCCTTTTCCGGGCATCCAAAGATGGGAGATAAACCTGAGCTTTGGCTATCTTCTCGGTGGATACTTTTCCTATATTTGTGGCTTAGCCTTGGCTCCTTACAGAACATTTTACCCCATGGCTGCCATTGGGTTTATATCATGTGCTTTTAGGATCATAGAGAAGAGAAGTAGGGAAAAAGGGGAAATGTACCATCATCGTAGGAAACACTCTCATAAACACTAAAGAAAATACTCTCACTATTAGCAATGGTTTTCCAAACAGAATCCTCTTGTATACGATATTGCCACGTGCAGAATGTTCTGCAATTGCGAGATTTTCTAGGTAACATGCCTCAATTTTGAAGATTTTTCTTATCGCTTGTTTGATGTGTAATGTTATTACCACCTTCATTTTCAGAGGAGTAGAAAGTTGTTTATTGTATCATCAGGTTGTGTCTGGCTTTGATTCTTTATTTCAACACCAGCTTTGAAGTGATTCAATCATCATATTTGTCGCAAAAATGTTATGGTCTTTCAACTTAAAATTTTGGATCCGTCTTTGATTATACAATGTGAATGAATCACTAATTGGCTTGAGGATTAGATAAAAAGGATTGTTCGTAGCGTGTGGTTTTTCATTTTTGTTCATGTTTATCAAGACATCCTTGCAATAATTTTTCTTTGGAGTTACTCAAAAACCAGGTCTAACTTGGCCTTTTTAATACTAAAAATAGACCATGTTAAAGAAGATGTATGGTCAGTTTGCACAGCAAGAATAATTTTCCACAAGATAGAAAGGCCCTTTATAATATTTTTGGCATATCAAACAACAAGTACCATAAGGAAAAAGAATAATTTTTCATTTGACAGAATCCAAAAGAAACAAGAATATAAGCAAGAGTGTATTGGTAAATGAAAATAAAAAATAGAGATACAAAAAGAAGAGCACAGCATACTGCATGTACCATAACACACCTGATCGGTGCAAATATAGCCGTTACTCCACACCAAAATCAAAAGAAATATGACCGTTACTTAAAACCCTAGAGTCTTCATCACAAGAGAGAGAGAGAGAGAGAGCATTAGGATGGTGAACGATGGAGATGATAAAGTTGAAGGGCTGTTGAGCCCCAAGTTCCGATCGGTGGCTGCTATGGCTGGCTGGGATGAAGAGGCTCTTCTCATGGCCAGTCTTGTTGTCGAAGACACACCCGATCGCCTTCCTAAACAAAAGAAACGTTCTGATTTGCTGCATTTCAAGACTCCCCCAACAAATTCTAGAAGGTACTTGCACCATTTTTAGATTTTAAATAAGAAGCGGATTCAGGAATTAAAATCAAATCGAATTGAGTCTTAGTGAAGCCAATCAATCAATTAATCTGATAGATCATCTCTATTTTATCTGATTGGATTATCAGTCGCTCTTTTTTTTTCTTTTGGATTATTGGGAAATGCATAAATTTGTTATCTTTTCAGGAAAAGAAGGGCTCAGAAAAGGAGCCCTGCATCCATAACTGCAACTGTTCTTGATCTCGACGACCAAGACACTGCAAAGCAAGGTAAATCATGATTTTCAAGAAGAGTTTGTGTTACGAATAATGGATTGTGTCCTGATGTTGATGTTCTGCAGAAAGCGAGAAAAAGGAGGCGGAATCAACATCCATTGAGAAATTAGACAAGAAAGGAGATGAGGCATTGGAAGAACAGGGTTGTTCTGTTGTTACATCTTCTACTAAGAATATAGAACCAGAATCAATTGAGAAAGCAGACACTAAAGTAGCTGAAGCATCGGAGGAACAGGGGTGTTCTGTTTCTTCTTCTTCTTCTGCAGCATTTCCCTCCATTGATCGACTTCGTGAAGAGCTTTCTTGTGCTGTAAGTGTTGTAAATCCGCTCTTGAACATGCCCCTTCTGTTTATCGATTGAGGGTGTCTTTTTTTCTATTTTCCTATTTTAGTATAGAAATGATTTCTTTGAATTTGCAGATTTGTTTGGAGATCTGTTTCGAACCGAGTACCACTCCTTGTGGTCACAGGTACGATCTCAATGGCATCCTCATCAACTTATATTCATAAATCAATACACAGACATTTTCAGTAATTGACTCTGACTAATTTGGTAAAAATCATATGTGTAGTTTTTGTAAGAAGTGTTTGCGATCTGCTGCTGATAAATGTGGAAAGAAATGTCCCAAGTGCAGGCAGCTTATCAGGTACTGTTAGGATGCTTTTTTCATTTCAGTTATATCCCTACTTTATTTGAAAATTTTCATTTCCTGTGAGCCAAGTTGGCTAATCTTTGGATTAGATCAACCCAATATTTTTCAAAAACTATATGAAGAGTACTAAGTTGCAAAGTTCACATTATCAAAGTTTACATAGTTTGAATCTTGAAACATAAGTGTCACATAAACTGAGACGGATAGAGTATTAAATAAGCTTGAAAAGGATTTATCATGGTGCTTCAATTGTTTCAAGTATGACGTATTCCTATTAAACTTGACTTTTTTGCAGCAATGGTAGATCATGCACTGTAAATACTGTACTTTGGAATACAATTCAACTGTTGTTTCCCAAAGAAGTAGAAACAAGAAAAGCAGCTGCAGATTTGAGTAGTAGAGAAGCTAAACGTCAAAGTCCAGTAAGAGCTGTTGCTACTCATTCTAACATCACTAGCAGCAGAACGACAAGAGTCCTGCTACTTAACAGTCCAGAATCTGGTCCTAGTAGTCAAGAAATTAGGAATTCTCGCGCCATGAGAAGACAAAGTGCCCGAGCTTCCGTAATGCCAAGCAGAAATCGAGACATTAGCACGAGGGGGGAGTTACCAAGCCAGGATGGGGATGCTGCATTGGCGCTAAGAATGCAGAGAGAGGAGTTCATGGAATCCTTCAGGACAAGAAGTTCTGCTGATGAGCAGTACAGGAGCTCTCTTGCTCTAGCCAGAGCAAATTTGAGGGCCATGGCATCAAGAGCCATTAACATTCGTGTTAGAGGAGGCCGTGGCTCATAAATTTGTTTACGGAATTGTGTTTTGTGTCTTACATTACGAAACCTATATAGGTTCTTGTTGAAAACTGAAAGGTCCTTTAACTCCTCATGAAGTACCATTGTCATAGCTAGTTGGTAATGTTCCGTGGCTCATAAATTTGTTTACAATTGCACCTGGAATTGTGTTTTGCGTCTTACATTACGAAACCTATATAGGTTCTTGTTGAAAAACTGAAAGGTCCTTTAACTCCTCATGAAGTACCATTGTCATAGCTAGTTGGTAATGTTCTTATATCAAATACATGTTTTGCTTTGTTCATCCCTCTCTTTTAAATTCGGATCATATGAATGATTGCTCTTGTCCATGCCAGCATCTTGCTGATCCAAGTCAAAGAATCAACAATGATGAGATAATGAAGCATTGATGGTGATATATTCTATAACTATATTAGCAGAGACAGAGAAAGAATAAGATAATACTATAATAATCTGGATATGAAGAATTCTTGGAGGAGAATTCATTATTTTGCCTCCAGAGAGGATAAGAGAATGTTGGATGAATGAATTGAAAAGCTTATAATATGAGAAAGAAGTCATCACATGTTCCGGTACCTACTAACATTCTGTCATTGCTCAATTATTGGCTTTTATAATAATTTTCATTGCATCACAAAGAAATGCAACGTTACAGATACTAAAAAATGGTTTTGACTTTCACCAGATACAAGAGTAAGATACATTGAACATTCAACTTTCATTTTCATAATACCTTTGTGTTGTGACGTAAATTCATGTACAAAAAGAATATATGGACTATTTCATGTACAAATAAAATAGCAAAAGAAATTAGATCCTCAAAGTCAAAACCTTATGTTGCCTCTGATACGAAATAATTTCATGTTGTGGAGTCATGTCAGTGACTTTTGCCAGGGTAACTTGCCAGTGTTTGGGTCGGTGAACATCTGTGCTACTCGATCCTTAAGGCCAGTGTCAGTAACTTCACAAAATCGACTAGACCAATCTGGTGGTTCAACAGCTCGTGTCCCTAAACCTGGGGCACGATCCCTGGACCCAACATTTCTGTGTTGTTGCCAATCAGAAACATAAGTAGCCACCCTCCTGTAGAACTTCTCCTTGAAGACATCCCAAACTTGATACTTGTAATGGTTAATCACCAGCACATTTCTATCCATATTTGCATATCTAAACTCAGACTTTAAATGAAAATGGTGAACCACATTGATTAATGTTGAATTCAACGCTTCCGGTTTCACAATACTCTTGTGCCTCTCAGGTGCAATCATCCTGCAATTGTACCCCATGGTGACCCCTTGTGTCGGGACATGTTTGAGACCAGATGGTCCAAAATTATGACATGACACCCGCAACTCAGCAACTTTACTATTACTACTCCTTGATTGGTTTCTTAATATGTCAAGCAGTGACATACCAGTAGGCAAGTGGAAGAACTCATCGACATCCATAAAACCAACCCATTCACATACATCTCTAGCTCGTAATGCACAATGAGCAAAACCTGCCTCTTGAGTCTTGATCCAAGGCCAAACATGTCGTGTCACATTTATGTTCCCATCCATGGATAATAGCTTAATGACATCATCAATATCGTCCAAGCTGTTATTATCATAAATAAACCAACGCTGTACTCCGATTCTAGTATGGTACATGATCCACTCTTTCAAGAAGCTGGCCTGGTTTCTTAACATTGTGCAGACACACATCTCGTGCTGTTTTCGACCTGGCAAGTTGAGCTGCAGACGGCGTTTAGGACTGGCTATGGACTCTAAAGGTTCCTTACCAACCATTCTAACAGAAACCTTAATGGGCTGATTCATGTTACTAGTCGTACCAACAAACCTCTGTGGATTATTCAGTATGCTCACTGGGGTATTACATCGAACAACTTCTTGAGCAATGGATACAACATCTGATTGTAACACAAATTTGGGATTCTTAACATCCCAACCATAAACACACTTGAATTTCGAAGCGTCCGATTGTTTTCCACCACGAAGATTGAACCCTTTAACAAACACGATGGTCGTGTTATCGCGATCGATCATGGCCTCATAGGCCAACGAATTCCACCGACGTGATGGCCCAATTGAGAGGTTGTAACCGGTAGACTTGACGGAAAGTGACGTCAGGACTCCACGTGGCTTAATCAGGGGACATCGAACGAGCTGTTGGCCCAATAATTCATCGTTTTCAACTGATTCAGGAGGTTGAGAAGAGTTAGGATTAAGGTAGAGGCAGTATAGGTCATATTTGGTGAATAAGGGAGTTGAAGGAGGGTATTTTAGGAAAACAACTGTCTCGTCCGGGAATTGGACGGTTTCTATAACTGGAACAATCGGCTTAACACCGGGTAGGGCTATGGTTGCCGCCGGCCGCCAGGGATGAAACCCTGCAATTCGCAAAAATATTATATATCTAATTAGGAAGGTCAATCAGTCATCATAAATCATACTAATATTAACCGCGCAAACAAATAATTAAGGCTGTAAAAACTAAATTTATGATTTGTTTTTTTTTTTTTGGAAATAAATTTAATTTAACAAAGTGTAATTAGTAGAGAAGCAGGAGGGTTACCTCGAGAAGAGAAAGTGAAGGCAGCAAAGCAGACAAGAAGAAGAGTACTACACCAGAAGAAAGATTTCCTGGGAATTTGAACTGCTGCACGTTTCTTACGATGATGTTTGATTCCCAAGAAAGGAATTTGAGCCATACCCACGATGTTAATGATTCAAATTCAGCAGCCCCTGTTTCTGAGCAGAAATAGCGATGATCATCATCGTCTTCTACAATTTGGTTTTTGGTTTTTTGAGCATATATTAGTAGTAGCAGTGGTCAAACAGTCTCAATAGTTTCTGCCAATGAGAAACAAGTTACGAGGTCACCCACTTTGTTGCAACTTCCTTCTTTTGATTTATTTTATTTTAATTTAAATTCAATTATTATTCCCTTCCCATCATATACTTAAAACACTTCTAATCAGTTTTTATGGTTTTACTAGAAACCTCCCCCAGAAAAGAAAGTTCAACTCTAACCTAATACTAATAGAGAAGAAAAAGAAAAAAAACAGCATGTTGTTCCTTTCACCGTCTTGTACAAAATTCCATTTCCATGGGCTTTTCTTTCGTTGTTGTTGTAGAATAAAAAGAGAACACGTTAATGTCTATTCATTCAATTTTATATAAATATAACTATTTAGTATTTGTTTGTAATCAAAATTAAATGACATATATATCAACTAAAATCAAGTTGAAGAACATGTTTATATATATTTTTATTTTTATTGTTATCGTCATAGAATTAAAAAAGTGTAGATAATTGCGACATATAATTCCTCATAGACTATTCTTTCGTCGTTGAAAAATAACACAAACCAAAACCAATAAATAAAAATGACGAAAAGGACAGGCTTGTTTATTGGACTAGTTTAGAGGTAGTGGATTTTTAGTTTTTGAGAAACTCTACTTGGTAATAATAACAAACAATAGATCGAGTGCTTTGACAGAAAACTTTTACTACTCCTATATTTCAGTTGCATCAATGACTATCTTTTCTTTTTTATGCTTTTTGATGACAGATTATATATATTTCTGATTAATTACCTATATAAGAGAGATTATTAATCAGTCTCCTCAATATGCGACTTTAGTTATTTGTTAACAGGTCATTTTCTAAACGTTGGTTAGGCAAATAATCTATTGTTAAATCCATATCTCATTGACTTCTTTTCTCTTCTTTAATTATTCCTAAATGAATCCAAAAAAAAGGAAGGGGAAGAAAAGCTAGATTATTACTCTTGTGAAGTTAATATATTTGTGATCTTATCGAATTTTTATATGCTCGATTTCATATCTTTGTATTTTTTTTATAATTTAAAAAGATGATAAACTCAATCGATTTGAATTCTAATTTGCCTTGATTAATCACTTTGTGTGATTATATCGAGTATATTTATTATTATTCTGACTTAGTGGGACCTTTTGAAATCCAATATCCTATATATTACATAAAATTAAATGTAGGGAGTAAGAAAGTAGTAGTAGTAATTAGAGGGAAAAGTTTGGTTTATTTAAGCTATATACAATCAATCTTAGATATGGTCATTATCAAACTTTAAATGTATAAACATTAAGTAAATGTTACTAGAGTTACTTACACGTGTCATGATTGAGATTTTGATTAGCTTGTCTAGAAACAACAAAGAGGAAAAAGTAGAGAAACTTTTACGGTTTAACGTCTTTCATCCGGTCGAATTATATCCTAAAAAAAAAGCCGGCGGCCGGCCTTAGACGTAATAGGGGACCACATCCTGGCGGCTGATCCACGCAAGTTCTTTCTGGTGAGTCGTGACTGTTGATAATGATGGGCCTATGCTATTGGACCTTGTGCCAAAAGCCCAAACTGTTGTTTCGAACAATATGTCTCGCTAGTTTAGCATTTAGTTACGTGGATACATGTATTTGACTTGAAATATGAAAGAATGATGTATCTGACTTAAAATTTGATACGAATTTATTACTTAGTGAGACACTACATAATTAATTCAAACTATAGAGTTGATTAGTATTTATGGTAGGAATAGTTGTGTAAATTGGTTGTTTTTTTCATATTAATATGTAATCAAATGAAATAATTGATAGTATAAAAGAAATTTACAATATGAGTATACATAACTTAACATCATTTAATTAAAGAAGAACAACATAATTATAATTTGTTGGACTAAAAGCAACAGATAGGATATGCTGTAAGGCAGCTAATGGACTCATTAATGAATTGACTAATATATTAAGTGCAGTTGATTAGAAATTTGACATTTAAGCAAACACCAAAAGCCGCCTCTATGTTCTATGGCGAACTAGAATTGGAAATTTCCATTTTTTTAGTTAGTCAATTAATTTGTTGTTCTAATCGAACTACTTTTCTCAAAGGTTTGGAGATATTTACACTCCCAGGCAGAGAAAGTGCAAATTAAATACCAACCATTCCAATATATATATATATATATATATA